TACAGATTGTAACTTTTGACAACCCCCTAGTTTCATAATGATTTTCAGTGTAGACTCTGTTTAACAGTTAAGCTGCTCTGGCAGCAACATAATTTTGCAAACATAAAAGTTAACAATATTAAAATTGCAGAAAAGAATCAAGGAAACTCCCTTAGAATTATATGTAAGGGAATTTTAAAGTAACCTTGTGGTCATTTTCGTCAAGAGATTTGATCACACTAAATAACTTAATGAAGCTCAGATGCTGAGGGCTTATAATCTTCTCCCATGTCTCATCCATCAAACTCATGACAACAAAAATATAAAGAAAACATTAGGGTAAGCCTGAACTGTTGGCCTACAGCCAGAGGACCTAATAGTAGCTAAATACCAGTTTGTTTACTGTATTTTGCACAGGTTCGTAAGGTGGTAGAAGACACGATGAAGAATATTCATCCTATTTATAACATCAAGGTTTGTGGAAATTGCTTGACAAACTGTGCCTTTAAATTTTGAAATAAAACAGATTATTAATTCTAGTCTACTAAACACATTTTTGTTAAATCCAGGAATCCCTTATTTCAATAAGTCATTAGTTTGTCACTGGGCTTTGGTTAAGGCGTGGGGGGAGAAGTAAATATTCTAAGTTACTTCATGCTGTACAAGCTACCATTAAGTGTTACATGTAGTTGTATGACAAACACAACAACAGCAATAACAACAACCTGAATCACTTTCCATTCAATCAAAAATGCACCTGAAAGTTTTGGCTTGGGGGGATCATGTGTGAATGGTAAACACTTAATGGCTTTGCCCCCCTGAAAAATTCTTGGAATTAGAATGGTACTTCCTCAGGCAGTCTCATCTGCATATAGTTCATGTGTTTTTTTATTTGGGCAGGGGGAGGAGGAGAAGAGAGAGGAGGTATTTTGGTAGTACAAAGCAAAAATGTGCTCACCAGTTTCCTGGAAACCAAAATTCTTTTTGACAGACTTGTAAGCACTGCAGGTTTGCTATGTAAACTTGTGGACAGAATTTTAAATTCTTTTAACTTCATATCTCATACTATCTTCCTTGCAGACACTAATGATAAAAAGAGAATTAGCTAAGGATCCAGAGCTAAAAAATGAATCTTGGGACAGATTTCTGCCTAAGTTTACACAGAGAAATGCAAAGAAGGTCAAGAAATCCAAGTTTAAGAAAAAGGAATATACTCCATTCCCTCCACCACAAACAGAAAGCAAGGTAAGTGAATAAGAATTTTAATTCAGTTTTACTTGTAATCTTCCAACTTCATTTTTTTGGCAGTCAGTAAACAGGCAAGTTATTCAAAGTCTGTATTAAACAGACTTTCTCAAAGTCATTTGTCAGTAGTCATAGTCAGTAGTCCCAACGTGCTTTTTCTTCGTTGGGAAATGAGTTCTTTTTTTTTTTTATAAATGCAAACACTTTGTACTGTTTGGGAACATCAATATGGTTGCCATGAACATGCTCTACTGCCGCAAGCAACTCTTTTGTTTTCTTCGTGATCGTCAAACTGCCCAGGTGCACCATAACTCAATAAATATACACACTAAAGGATGAACCAAATGTTGATACTGAGAAGTTTGAGTAACAGTATGTGAACTACTAATAAAAATTGAATTTCAACAGATCTTGGCAAATCAATACAAGAAATATATCAAACAAATACATTTCGTGAAGCATGAGAAAAACAGTTGCTGTCATTAGATTTAAATTTTTAATTTTTTATTGTTTTGTGCTATTTACAAAAATCATACCTTTAACAGTATTTACAGAAATTATATTAATTAAAACGAGAAAAGAAATAAAGCAGTAAATAGCCAAAATGAAAAAATTAATGTGCTCAGTGACCAAAGTAGCATAGGCTTTTTTTAGAATTATCCCTTGTTTTATTTACTAAATTGAAGGCCATGTTATCAATGTTTTCTCCATTCAGATTGATAAACAGTTAGCAAGTGGTGAATACTTTCTTCAAGAGAAAGAAAGAAGATTAAAGGCCCAACAGGAAAGAAAGGTATGTAATTTGTATGCAATCCAAAACAAACAACTGACAGAACAGGTAACTTAAGAATTGAGTACTGAATTGCATATGCCTGTTTGTCCTCAAAGGAAAGATAAATTTACTGTCTTTATCTGACCTATGAAAGTTTTGTAGGTCAATTTGATTTTCTTGTGCAGTTTCGCTGTGCAAGAAGGGACTTGATTTAAGTATCCCCTAAATGAAATACTGGGTTCAAAAATTAGTTCAGTTTTGGTTGGTACTGGGGTGAAATTATCATACTCCCATGAACCTTATTCTGAGTATTTTCTATCTATTTAATATCATCATTCACAATTATTTCAATAGGCTCGACAAGTGGCAGCAGAGGAAAAGAGGAAAGCTAAGCGGGAACAGGCGTTCATTCCACCAGTGGAGGAAAAACCCAAAAAAGAAACTAAGAAGAAAGGTAAGATGATATTCTGTAAGATGACATTAATTATTTTTCTTTTATTGTCCCTATAGTTATGCATACCACATTATTACAGTTACATTTATCATAAGGTTCCAAAAGTCTTAACCCCTCTCAATTACTGGGTTAAATTTCAATTTGCTGGGTTCTTTGCAATACCGGTAATTTTGGAATACAACAGCAAAATGGGAATGTTGTTACACAACTATTGAAATAGATTAAAGATTTTTTTCCCTCATTCCATAATAATAATTATTGTTTTTGCAGAGAATGATAGCAAAGTGGACGTGGAGGCATTCAAAAAGAAAATAAAAAATTCCCAGGTGAGATCAATTTGCTCTAGCAGCAGTTTTGTTTGTTTGCGTTTTCAAAAAAAAAAAAGGTTTCTCTTACAGAAATTAAAATAATATTGCATTGGGATTGCTGATTTTTTCTGTCGCTGCAGAAAAGAAGACTTCTTGGACAGAGTGCATCAGAAACTCCAGTAAAAAAGAGAAAAGGCAAGAGTTAAAAAGAAGCTACCGATATTCAAATAAATGTTATTTGCAGTCAAAACCGTCGACAGCCAGTGCCCAGCACAGTGGTTCCACTATGCGTTTGGTTGGTGATGTCATCCATGGGACAGGCAATACTGAAGCTTATTGCATGAACACATGACAAGCTCATCACTGCTCCTTGAAGTCTGGACATCTCCAGAGATAATACCATCAAAGACAATTTTACAATGCTTTGTTTCGTCAATGCATATTCATTTGCTATTTCATTCACAAGTTGTATTTATACTGTACGAACTACTGTTTTGACACTCCATCTTTTTGAGAAAAATGTTTTCTACAAGAAAGAAAACAAATAATGATGATATCAACCACATTAGTGCACCACCTCTGTAAGGATGGCAAGAAGGCAGATGCTGGAAATGAACTTCTCCCTTTGACCTAACATTGTTGTTCTATATACATAGGGATGACAAAAATTGAAGTGAGCTTAAGCTTAAATTAAAACAATTTTTATAGTTCTTTTGTGTTACCGCCTAAATATATAAGTTTTAGAAAACCATATGAGGAAGTAGCAGATCCCATTAAAATAGTGCTCAATACACAATAGAATCAATACACATATAGTGTAGCAAATCTTGCCTCTTCGTTATTACTCATATAAGTTTTAGAAAACAACTAAGATGTAGAGCTGAAACAGAAAAACTACCTTATGCATGCTTACAAACCAAAGTTTTGGACAGGAAACCTGCAGATGTTACTCAGAAAGCAATGTTTGTCATGGTATGTCCCAGAATTAAGACTCCAACAAATGATAGCTAGAACGGGTTTTTCTGTCATCAATCAATGAACCCACAGCAGAAACGTGCACGAGTCGACTCGTGAAAGACAAGTAACACGCAAAAATTGGTTTCGCGAACGCGAAGAGTTATACCCGACATTTACACTGTAAATTGTTAACGAAATTCATTCCGTGTATCCTAATAAAGTTCACCAAAGTACTAAGCGACGATAAAACAGAAGAATTCAACATAAAACTTTACCTAAGAATTAACATGTTTAACATAACGTGTTCAACATTTACTGTATTTTAGAAACATGAGCAAGCAGTCGCTGTGATTTTATTACACCACTTTGAAGTAATATAAAACAGGAGTTTAAACAATAAAATCACTTACCTTTCATCGTTAACATTTCGAGCTCCTTGTATCATTTACGTGGAAGTCATTTAAACCCTATAAAGGGCAAAGCATCGGCGGTTCTTCGCGGAAATGTTTTTTGAGGAACCCAATTGAGTGCAGGCTCGTCAATGGTGATTAATATTTGATTGTTTGATTGGTTAAACTGTTTCTCTTGATTTACCAAATATGGTGGACAGTCTTACGTGTCAACCCCCAAGCCAGAGGGATCTCCAAACTCACAGTTCTTAGAGACTCGTTGCTGGGAGAGAAACGTTTGCCTGCCGAACATAGGCACAAAAGTTTTTCTTTTAACTGGGGTGCAAAAGATTTAGCTTGTGTTTAGGCGCCCCCGCTCTCCCCAGAAAAAATCGGAGACCCTCCCTCCCTCTGAAACCCTTCCCGATTTTGTGTGTGGAAACCCGGCGGTCAACAGGTTATGTGTACAGCCGGGCTGGAGTCCAATAACCTTCTTTGCAATAAGTCCATCCGCGCGCAAGTAGTCCACGCGGACCTGCGCGACCAATTGCGCGACCTTCAACCTTTTGCGAAAAGACTGGGTCGAATGTGAAATGAAGTCGTTACAGTTCAAATAGATCTGCCACTTTGATCGTTCAGAAATAAGTTCGGGTAAGTACTTGACTTTATTTAAATGGTTTTAGTGGGCAAGAAAACTGTAAATTAAGTAGTATGGATTGAAATCGTCAGACTTAGTTTCCGTTTTGCAACCGCAGTCGCTAAAATTTAAACTTTTAATCAACTTCTCAGGGCGCTTGTTGGTTCGTTCAAGTACATTCGCTCGTTCGTCATATGTTTTTTTCTTCGTGTATTCAAACATTTGGACAGAAATGTGTAAGCCACGATGGAGATTATTATAAAGCATACTTCACGAGGACATTTAGTGAGTGAAGTTAAAACCAGCAAGTATACCGTTGAAATTGTCCTGAAAAGGAAGCCATGAAATTTCATTTTTCTTTCTTTTTTCTTTGACTTGAAGCTTGAACAAGCTTAAACTGAATTAAAACCGTCGGCCAAACCATGCAAACTGATGAATCAGAATTTGCCTTTTCCTTCTGAATTTTGTAAACCAAAATTGAGTCCTGAGGATTCCTGTCACACCGTCGAAAAGAAGCTAAATTGCAATTTTGTTGGTTTGGACCTCAACCTTTGCAACCAACAACAAGATATCATTGGATGGTGTTTGCCAGCGGTTTCAGACTGAAAGGTTAGCTAAATATAACAGTCATTAGTGAAAAGTATGATCCAGTCTGGAGTATCATTTAAACCATTTCGTGATCGAGCTGATCAACGGCATGCAATGTTATTGATTTTGTCATCAGAATGCAGTCATCATCACAAAACACATGGACACCACATTGCCGCGAGTACTGTAATGGCAACACAGCCGAGTTCTACTGCCCAGAATGCGCTGCAATGTTTTGCGGCGATTGCTACGACAAGGAACATCGTGGAAATGAACGGAAATCCCAACACGGAAAACTCACTGAGCTGAGGGCCATTTGCAGTGTTCATAAGCACACGCTAGATTATTTCAACCTCACGCTTCTTCAGCCCATGTGCATTATTTGCAAAAAGGAGACCATGCTTACTCCAGAACATGAACATCACGTCATTGACCATATTGAGACGACTGTACCAAAGCTAAGATCTCTCATGGAAAAGAAACTGGAAAGTGCTTCCGAAATGATTGACAGATTGAACCAAGAGCTAGCCAGGGTAGAAAATGTCGCAAGAAGTACAATGATTGCATCGGTCAGTTACATCCAGTGTTGTTTTGCAAGACTACGGCAACTTCTTGATGAGAGAGAAGTTGAACTTTTGACGAATGCAAGAAAATACTATGATGACTTTGTGGAGTTTGGTGAAGGAAGAATGGAAGCACGGAATGCTTTGAGAGACCTCAAGGCTTTGTCAGACGAAGGTGGGTATTTATAGCGTTTTTTGTTGATAAAATAATATCTAGAGAATAGTAACATTACAGGCAAACCAATCAAATTTCAATCAAATTCTCAGGAAAAAAATGGAACTTCTATAAAGGTCATCCCATGAAGCACAGAAGTTTTTTTTTTCCTTAGGAGCTTTGCAATAGGGTGAACTGAAAAAGAAAAAACAATTTACCCATGCCATCAACTGGGCATGGGCTGTAATTTTCTCTTGATCAATATGAACAAACAACACGGATCCCGCGCGTGACTCCCACATGAAAAGGACAGGGGTGCTTGACGTACATTTTAGGGGTTAAAAAAGTGGTTTGATCATCTCTTAGGGTGTTCATCCTCAAAAGGCCCACCTTTTAAGGTGTAATTTGAGCGAAAAAAAGATGACTGGAGATAATGTGTTATATTAGATTTGGTACCTCGTAGGGGTAAAAAAATTTCAAGCCACACCCACAAAACAGGATCTGGGAGCCTCTTAGGGTTTCTTTCTAAAATTTCTGACCCGCACCCCTGATCCTCTTTGTAAGGGGAGTCCTGACCCGTGGGCAGGGATAGCCAATGTCTGAGCCAAATTGGATCCGTTCAGCTGTAACATAGCTAGTCTACCTGCATGTTAGAGAAATTTTACTGCTAGTTTTGTTGATCAGAATTCATGTATATGAACAGTGAAATGTGATCTATATAGGGCTACTGTTATACTGAACAGATGGTGAGAGAAACACATAATATGCAATCAACTGAATGAATGCTTAAAGCTCTTTTTTCTCATAATAAACAGGAAAATTGCTTTTAAATAAAGATGCCAGAAGCCTTGTGGTGGAATTTCCATCAGTGTTCATTAGACTCAAGGACCTTTGCGGTTCAACAGTTTGTGAAGGACAGACCAAGAAGTTGAAAATTATAATTGATTTTGAGACAAATATTCTTGAACAGCTGAGGGAAGTTGGAGTCATGAAGTCATACACTATTGAACGAACTGCAGGTAGAGTGGGAAATGGTTGTTTGTTTTTTTTTTTTTTTATTCAGCTTTCTGTTTCCAGACAAGTTTTTCAACTGTAACATATTCTAATTTTCTTGTCCTGGGTATTTTTGCAGATGAGAAAACTGGAAACTCAAAAGTGGCAAATGATAATGATTACAGCAGCTCTTTAGATTGTAAAAGAGGTATTGCATGTTTTAAACAAATGTTAAATGTCAATGTAGGTAAATGTACTAGATAATTTAGTGTAAAAATAAATGTGTGTGAATTTATGTTAATCAGTAATGTATACATTACTGACCTGTTTATTATAAGACATAGTAGATACTTGCAGCTCTTGCAGATGGTGGAAAATCAAATTAAATTTCACATTAATTGAGAAAGTTTCACGGTTATTTGTGTACGTCTCTTTGGGTCCTCTTTCTTACTTCTGAAAAACTTAGTGACGTTAATAGTACATTACTGTCAGTATTAACCTGAATGATGTAAAAAAATGATTACAGAAATGACAGTGTCTGTTGTATTTTTCTATTCTTCTCATTGTGCTCTTGTCACTTGATAACAATATAATTATTATTGTGGTACAAGTTATAAGTTTTTAGAAATTATGCTTTGATTTGTTAGTTTATGCTAGAAAGCATGCTCAAAACCCAAGATTGCATTTTATAAGTTTAAGGTGGCACCATACTTTTCCATATTAACTACTTCACCACTGCACTTTATCCCAATATCTTAAAAAGTATCAGAAGCACAACAGGGTGTTTCGGTCCTTAAAATTCCTGAGGTATTAACAAATGGAAATTATTAAAACAAATTTACTTATCTTCAGTTGTAAAAATTCCTTTAGGTATGAAGAGGCATTTCTCCCACCCACCCTCTCAGGAGGAACCTAGCACCAAGCAAGCCAGAGATGATAATACCCATGTAGTCAGTTTTGAGTCTAACAAGTCACTGAGAACTCCATTGAAAGCCACAGCAGTGACATCATCCAAAATTACATCACCTTCACCTAGAAAGCGAACTTGCAAACCAACTGCCCAGAAGTCTGCACAATCACCGGAGTGGATTCCAGCCTCTCCCATTCAAACACCCTGTGTGGCTTCACCAAGAAGGAAAAGAGGAGGAGAACTAAGCAAAGAGTTTATGGTGAGGTTAAATTAAATACGTATTTTTATTTTTGGAAAGGTAGTCTTGAGGTAAATCCGAGCATTCTGATTGCTTCTTTGTAAGCTTGGTCAGGATTTTGCCATACAACAGACCATTTCCATGCAGAAACAGCCATAAGCCATGTATTCTTTGTTTTTCGAGAGCCAACAAATTGAGTAACATTAGAACTAACAATCATGGCCTGAGTGCCACTGCCCATATCATAAACTACTTACTTGTGCTAATTACTCAAGCCGTACTGTGGATTTTTGGCCCTTGGACATTTGTTGTCATTTTTTTGTAGGGATCTCGCTGCACTCGGTCCGTACTGCCATGCCCAATATTTCCCAGTAGGGCCCTTGTGTAGTTATTATGTCCAAGTTCTGTTTTATTTTCAAATTGATTACTTAAAAACTCATGGGAATACCATTGCTTTTCAAGTGCTCAGTAATTTTGAGTTACGACTAACATCAGTTCTTGGACATGGTGACAATTCATAGTTGCGGCTTTTTTCAGCTCCGGTTTAGTTCAGTTGTCCCTCAACTCTTTTCTGGCTGCAAAGGAGAATACAACTTTTAAGGATTTCTTGGAAGTTGATGTGTGCAGAAAACCCATCAAATAATTTTCTTCCTGTCTTGCAATACAGAAATGTGATATCATTCTGACAGAGCTATGGGCTCAGGATGAAAGCTTCCCATTTGTACGCCCTGTGGATAAGAAACAGGTAACTATATTAGCCAGAACAAATAATTCACTAAATATTGTTGACTGCTGGGGCGGACACATGAGTTTAGAGAAGAGGGTTTGAGATACGGACCGCCAAAGGCACTCCCCTGTAGGGGGGTCCAGGGGCATCTTCCCCCAGAAAATTTTAAAATTGAGGTCCCCAGAAAGGGATTTCCAGGATTCTGAGGACAAGTCAGCATGTTATAATGCCACATTTTTTAAAAATTTCTGCGACCGAACCCCTCAAACCCCCGAGGTCTGACGCTGGATGGAAATACGTAAAGTTTGTATGTATGTATGTATGTAAATACTCGTAACTGTTTTGCATTCTGATATCCCTCTTTATATTAATACAACAATCTCTAAAGTTTTATGCCCATAGCCTAATTCTACTCCACTCTCAATTTGTTAGGGCAAGTTAAGATAGTACATGCATATATCAAGCTTTATCAAGCTTACATTTCATAAAAATTGAACTAAACTGAGTCTTGTTCACATTTGTCTTGTGCAGTCACAACAACTGCAACACGAAAAATGCTCTAGGATTTTGAAACATGTTTAAAATTTAACCCTTCAAAAATAACTTTGTAATATTTTCAGATAATCATGTGATCATATGATTGCCTTGACCATGAAAGCTGTATGCAATTTTTGTATAATGCTATAGAGTGAGGGCCAGAACAGAACCAAAAAAGTACTCTCACTGGAAATCGCCTGGTAACTGGACTTACATATACTTTGAATTCTAGTCACCAGATTACTATAAAGTCATCAAGAATCCCATGGACTTGTCCATTATCAAAGAGAAACTGCACACTCTTCAGTATGCATCTGCTGTAGATTTTGTGAAAGATATGCATTTGATGCTTAGCAACTGTACAAGATATAATCAGGTAAAGACAAAATAACTTCAGCCAACACTTACTGTAGAAACAAAAAGGTAACGTTTAACTCTGTATCAGGTTATAAGTGGCCCATGCAGTGGGAGCTTACGGTTAGTAAGCTAGACCAATTAAATAAAAGCATTAAATTTGTTAGTAACCAGTAGTACATCTGGGTGGAGAGAGGCACTGCGAGAGGAAAGTGTCCAGCCCAAGAACATAATTATGCAATAACTCCGGCCAGGGGTCAAACCCGGACCACTTGATCCGGAGTCGAGCGTGCTAACTATAAGGCAATCCCACCTCCTCCACTGTAGTAGTTGGACATCAGAAATCCAATCTGCATTGTTGCTGACTGGTTAGCTGTTTACAGAAGTTTGGCCGAGGTCAGGTATATGCAGCTGCCCGGATTCCAAGTTGTCAGGTGCAGGAGCTCCTGAGCACTCATTCACCCTCCTCCTTGAGGACATTGTTATCCTACAAACTGTTGTACATTACTCCATAGCATGAACCCAGTGAAGGAAGAGGGTGGTAATCTACAAAGTTTTATACGGGTAGTTTCCTCCCCGAGGTCCGACTTCTTACCCTTTTGTACACCATTTAGACAGTAAAGACACCCCTTTCATAGGCCTTTTATAGAAAAAAGGTACTCTTTCCACATACCTACTTAAGAACACTGCATCCCTTTTCTAAACCCTTAAAATGAAGTCAACAACAATACTACTGGAGAACATCAAGCATTACCAGAAGAGATCTTAACCAAAAAAAAAAGTATCATCTATTCAGTTCCCCTACGGTACACGTTATACATTTATGACAGATTTCTCTACCCGTTCATACACCTCAACTTGTGAAATCCCTACCCTTTTGTGTACCTGAAGCCTGACAAACTTCAAAAAAGGTGCCCCTTTCAGGCGGAGCCTCTCAGTACACGTATAGGCCTTTATATGGAGTACCGCCTTCCCCAAGGGCACGGAGAACACTTTTAAAACCTTCACAGAATGTATGTAAACAGTGAGTAAACGTTTAGCGTCATAAGCTGGAGTAAATGGAAGGGAAAGATCGCGTGTAAATGAGTGTAATCTTTTTGTATAAATTTATCGCCACATCTAGGACAGCTGTAATGCCTACAATTTGTCTTCATACATTTCACAACCAGTAACTATCAATTTTTACTTTATAGGTAATTTAACTTTTTTTCTTTTTTTAGCCTGGCACTTACGTCTTTGCTGCTGGCGAAGCGTTGGGAAATATCTTCAACCGTTTGCTCAAAGAGAACTTTCCTAACTTTGAAAATGTCCTTCTGGAGGATAGCGAGAATGATTCCGCTTCCAACAAATAGTACAAATACTGTGCAACTAAAAAGATAAACTTCTGTGATTAAGTTGAACTTTAAAATGTCTGTCATGTCTTCACCCGTCAACCCAAACCTCGCGCGGGAAAGACGAGCGGTTTTTGGGTTGAGGTACGAAGAAACTTTAAAATGTTATCTTTGTGTGTGTACATAAACCTTGCCAAGATTTCAAAAAAGACGTTCTCGACCTCGAGTTTTGCTAACATTCATCTTTCTCCCTCCCTTTCACGTTCATTACCGAGGGAACTGTAATGTTTTTAGCTTTTACATTTTGTCAGGTCTGTGTAAGATCGTAAAAGATAAATACGGATTTTGTTACCACGTGCTGGTTCCCTGTCAAAGTCAGCCAAGGATTCGAATGCGTTTATTTTCGCATGTTGTATTTGCACAAATTTCCAAAGCTCGTAGTTGCTCATCTCCTATGAGGTGTTCTTAACGTTTTTTCTTAATACATCCTTACAGTCTGAAAATTATTTGTATAGTTTTCGTTGTTACATTACATACCATGACATATCAACACCGTTATTAGTCAGATTGTCAATCCTAAATATGAAACACTTTTGCCCCGCAATAATATTCTTTAGATGTCTTTACCAAGGTTAAAACTTAACGTGTCATGTAAACACTTCAATAAACTTTAACAAAAACATGTATTCCTCTGCCTTTTCCGTGTGTTCACTATGAAAGCAACGTTTTACTTTAGAGGTCACTGTTGTCTAAACGCGATTCATTGGGAATGAAAATACCTCTTACAAACTTCGCTAAAGAACATGGTGTTTCCTCGTTCAACAACATCCGGTAAAGACAGGTTCGGTTAATTTTAAATTCTTTAAGGAGTGATGATGAAAATTAAGTCTTCAAACGAATTCAGAACACATGCCTACGTGAAAAGATACAACCATTCGTGCGGTGCAGATCTAAAGTCACCAGTGCTGTCTAATTGGCTGTTGACTTTCGACTTGGTTATAAGGATCAATCGGGGACACCACGGGTCCTCTACACCTTCGATTCGTCATCGTTGTGGGATTCCCCAATGACCTCCTCAATGACTTGTGTCCCTCGTTTGAGGTTTAGCCTCTTCCCGTTCCAGTATTCAGTTTGGGGGTGATTACATGGCGAATTTCAGCACGGGCTAAATCTTTTTGCGATTACATGACGAATTTCGGCCAGGGATGAAATATTAGCCTGACGGCCAAAGTCAACCGAGAATCAAAATGGTATCAAGGACACGAATTGAGAAAATGGGTACATCACATCTCTCGCAATTAAGCCTTTTGCTAGTGCTCAGTTTTCTTCTTTTTGGGATAGTGGAAGCTTATAAGATGATGGCACATTAAAAGAAACCTGTCTTTGGTCACATGCTTGTCAGCCAGCGAGAGCCGTTACTTACATAGAAAGAGGAGACATACTCAAGATTATTTTATATAATAACCCAAGTTATTCTCGCATTTTGATTGGTTCTCGCCTATGATCTATTAGAGGACAGATGCACGATTGACGTCATCATTTCAAAGT